TCTATATACAATAGGGATCCATTTGTTTATTTTTAAATATATACAAACAAAAATGGAACAGAACAGACAAGAAAGCTGTATCAAAAAACACTAATAATCATCTCTGAATGTGATTATGAGTGATTTTTTAATTTTCATTTTCTTATCAGTATTTTGTGATTTCTCCAATATGTGTATTATTTTTACACTTAAAAATGGAACTAAAGCCCTGGCTGGTGTAGCTCAGTGGATTGAGCACAGGCCTGCAAACCAAACAATTATGGTTCGATTCCCAGTCAGGGCACATGCCTGGGTTGCAGGCCAGGTCCCAGCAGGGGACGCACATGAGGCAACCATACACTGACGTTTCTCTCCCTCTTTCCTTCCCTTCCCCTCTAAAGATAAATAAAATCTTTTAAAAAATGGAACTAAAAATTAATTTTAGAGTATTATTTAAATTTAAAGGTTTCTATTTTCTCTTCTACCATTATATTCTTGGTCCCAGCAGTACGAGATATTAAAGACTTCTCTTACTGTAAAAACAAGATCTGAAAATGTTTTAATACAATTTTATCAATTATAAATAAGGTAGTATGAGGCAAGATCTCTGGATTTAGATTGGCAGGGTTCAAATCCCATTTACATTACTGACTGGCAACATAATTTTGGGCATATTATTTCACCTCTCTTTGCCAGTTTCTTCATCTGTAAAATGGGGCAGCTGTTATCCTAGGCACATAGTACTTAGCTAGCTATTATTATTACTGTTATTATCATGATCACCATCATCTTCTTCCTCTTCTTTTACAGGTAAAGATGCTAAAGCACTACAATCATATGCCAGAAAACCGAATGGTGGGAAGAGATGGTCAACAGCCATTCAAAATGATGTTGCAGAAGTGTATCTATTGCCATAAAAATTTTACAAGTGAAAAACCTAGTCTATATACAATAGGGATCCATTTGTTTATTTTTAAATATATACAAACAAATATATACAGGGTGCAGGTAGTGAAACAGAGACGGAGGAAGCAGAGCAGAGTGGTAGGAGAGAGAGACAGAAAGACGAGAGACAGTCAGACAGCGAAATGCTGGATCTCCTTTCCTAAATTGCTATTCTTTTGAAAAGACAGATGGAAGTTACTCACATGTAGCCTAATGCTCAATAAACATTTCCTTCCTTTCTTCCTCAATCCTCTGTTTTTTCCCATACAGAACAGAACTGCTTTATATTCACTCACATCCCTAAACCACCTTCCCTGCAGACTTGCATTTTAAAGTTAACTATTATTTGTTTTAACTCTGTTGTAAGTCAAATGTCTCTGTGGAATTCCATCAATCAGAAGAGCCTTACAATTTAAAAATGCTAGAAACACAGGGAACACTCAGCACCCTTTTTGAATCACTGTTAAGAACTCACTTTGGCCCTGGCTGGTTTGGCTCAGTAGATTAAGTGCCAGCCCGGGAACTGAGGGGTCGCTGGTTTGATCCCTGGTTGGGGTGCATGTCTGGGTTGCAGGCCAAATGCAACAAACAGATCAATGTATCTCCCACACATCATGTTTATTTCTCCCTCCCTTCCCAACTCTCTAGAATAAATAAATAAATAAATAAATAAATAAATAAATAAATAAATAATTTAAGAACCTCACTCTAATCAAAATTTCCCTATATTTCACATGCATAAAATATCAGGAAATAAAAAACACTAAGCCAAAAGACTTGTGTTCTGATTCTATCCAGGCCAATAATTAGACTAGTAACCTGAAATCGGTAATTTTGCCACTTTAGGGGAAAAAACAAACAAAAAAACAGGTGAGGAAGCGATGTGACTGACAGATCCCGTCTAGCTTCGTAATTCAATAGCCTCTTCAGCAACCTGAAAATGGAGAATTCACAGGCAATTTTTCATGCCTCCATGTTTCCCCCTGACTGCAAACTCCCTTTCGTCTTCCCCTTTTAGAGAACTCCTGATATACCTTCCATTAACGCCCATTACTTCTTTCTTGAAACCTTCTCCCCAGGGCAAATACAGCAAATCCCTCCATATTCTTTGGACCCATGACTACATCTATTACAGATGGCTGTTTATAAACTGTCTACTATCTCTGGAGTCCCACATTTTGCACAATGCCTAGAACACAGCAGGTGCTGAGGCTGTGTTTAAAAATTTGAGTCTTCAACCCTGACTGGTGTGGCTCAGTTGGTTGGGCGTTGTCCTGCAAATCACCAAGTTGCTCTTTCAATTCCCAGCCCATGTCTGGGCACATGTCTGGGTTGTGGGTTCAGTTCCCGGTGAGGCACAGACAAGAGGCAACTGATGGATGTTTCTCTCCTTGTCTTTCTCCCTCCCTTGCCCTCTCTCTAAAAATAAACAAAAATAGAAATAAAAGTTTGAGTCTACAAAGTTAAATTAGGTTCCTCTGAAGTTTCCCTATGCACCATCTGGAAGTTTACAGCTTAACTGGAAGATACAATGAAGCCAGTTTGCAGCACAACCAAAGCCTTGCCCCAGTTGGATCCACGTATGCGGTGCAAATTTATTCTGATCGTTTGTGCAAAAGCTACACAAAGGAATCACTGCAGCAGATTATCTGGACACCCTCTAGGGATTACCTATTACCTTACCTCCCTATCCAAACAAACCTCTTCACCCTGCTGTACATTATCCTAGGGCACTTAAGACCTCCTACCATACTATATAATTTACTGATGTTCAGTGTTTATGGTTGCTTAATGTAAGCTTAACCAATGCAGGAATTTTTATCCATTTTGTTCAAAAATGATAGCCAATGCCTATACCAGTGCCTGGCACAACAAATGATTTTTTTAACTAAAATTCTTTCCTCTGTCTCAAAGCTGTCACGAGTTATGAGTCATCACCTTTACAGCCTTATCTTGCATTGCCCTTATTTCCTTGGATCCACCCATTTACGTAGAAGCTTCCGAGAACTGGAGGAAAATATGTGTTATTTCATTCCTAAATTACAACTCTTATTTTCTCTGCTCACCTGTTGGTACAGAAATACTATCCTGGAAACTATACCAAGTAACAAACAGATGAAATAACTGCAACTTTTTTCTTTACATTTCTGATAATTATTTCTATCTACAAAGTTTTCACTACAGATTTTGAACTAATGGTGGACAAAAATCAAAATAAAAAATGTTGGATTACTTTTTTGGCACATAGGCTAAAGATGTTGAGAATACATTAGCTGTTACATGTGACCTGACTAAAAAATTATGCCCCAAACAGCTCAAACCTTCTAATGTGATATGTATATAATATATACACATAACATATATATGCTATATATAATATATATTAGTTATGGCAAAATCTTTGTTAGGTAGCTAACATGCTTAGAAGAAATGAATGTACCCATTGTTATTTCTGTAACTATTAAATATTGAGCCATGCAAAAACAAGATACTATTGTATTTGTATTCAGAAAAATACTACCAAAACCTTGTCTATCCCCTAGTTTCCTCCAAATATGGTCCTTCCCTGCTTCATCCAATTTAGCGATGCGTTCCAAGAAACACAAGTCCAGCAGTGACAGTCATGGACATCATCTGCTTTACTATTTTGAAGACAGCTTTTAAGTTCTTGAAGAAACCAAATATAAGCAATGTGATAGACTCAAGATGAGAAGCTTCAAGCTGGGATGCCTAGATATGTTGATTCAAACTAAAATAGAAAACAAAGATTTTCATGAAGTCACCCAGTCCTCTCATCTATCACCACCTAACAAACTCGACTTCTAGGATGAGCTTTAAAAAAAGGCTTCGCAACCTCAAATGACAAAAGCCAGACTCCCTATCATGTTAGAAATAATAGCAAGTCTGTCTGCAGGTTAGCCTCCTCAGGGATCTCTCAGTTTTGCTTAAACACCCTAAAAGGAATTAATATTCTAGCTATGAGCATTTGAAAGTAAGGGTTAAGTTCTCAGGATTCAGGTGCCAAGGTGATGACAAAAAAAAAAAAAAAGTGAGGTGGGAACGAAGAACATCAGAACAGAAAACAATCATTAAATACTATTTTCTCTACAATAGTAAAGGAGTGTGTATGGAGTGGGTTTCAATCTACAGAGTTTTTATTAGCTTTCTAACCACAGATTAAATATAATCACAACAAAGCCTTCAAAAGTCTTAACTCCGCAGGGTTCAAGGTCCTGTTTTCTGAGGATGTAAGGCTCCTCTGCTGTCTCCATACCCCCATCTTGCCATCCCATCTTTCTGCTCATATCCCAACCCCCAACACGTCTGTAACAAACGATAAGTAAGGGAAATGACAAACAGCACTAAACCTGACCTGACTTTCTCATTTACAAATGATTTGGAAAACAATTCCCCAGTGGACCTAATCAACCCAGCGCACACTACCAAGGCCCCCACTCGGGGGTTGTCTGAAAAGATAAAGCCCCCATTCTTCGGGGAAGCAAGGAGCGGCTCCAGACTCCAAGACCCCAGGCTGTCACCGGGGGATCTCTACGCATAAACAGCCTCGTTAAGTGGCTTACATTCACAGGACTTTTCACCCCAACTGCTCACTCCTAAAGCCCAAGGGGGTAGGGAATACAACGCTCCATCGTCTGTGCTTGGGACCCAGGGAAAAAAGCAATGGGCAGGAGACTGAGACAGGCAACCGGGTACACGTCGGATATGGGTCTTGCGGACAGTGGGAGGTTATTTATTCAGAGAGGGCAAATAAACCCAAAAGCAGCGCGGAGGGAGAGGTTGGGGTGATGGATAAACGCAAGCTCCGGTACCAGAGTGTCTCGGGGGCTTGGGGTCCAGGGAGACAGAACCTGGCTGGAGGGATCCACGCGTGCTGTGCTCGAAGAGGGACTGGGGAGGCGGCAGTAGGGCCAGTAAGGCAGTGCGAGCGCTCGGGGGAGGTTGCGGGAGGCCCGCTCTCGAGAACGCCCAGACCGGGCAGCACGGGGCCAGGTGGGCCGGGCCCTCGGCCCAGGTCGCCTGAACAAAGCCGGCGCTCGGGGAGCCTGGCTACTCACAACAAGAAGCTCATGTCGGCAGCGGCGTGGGCTGTGCGCTCCTGCGGTGGCGAGGCCTGCGGAGTTGGCGTTAGCCAGGGAAGAAGAGAAGGGAGAGAAAGACGAGGAGGTGGGGGAGTGCCGCAGAGGTGGCTCTGGGTCCGCAACTTGCTCGGCTTCGCTCGTTCCAATGGCAGAGGGGCGGAAGTGGGAAGCGCACGGCTCGAACCTCTCGAGGGGAGGGGAAGGAAAAGGAGGCGGGGAAAGCGCCGCCAGCCCGTCCCTGGAGAACTGCCACCGCGGTGCAACCCTCGGTCTCCTCCTCCCGAGCCCCCAACGTCCCCCCGCCCCGAGAACTCTCGCGAGAGCCACGAGCGCCCACTCTGGCCCACGGGCCGTGGCTCGGGGTTCTACAGTACCGGCCACCTTTGCAGCCTCGGGACACAGCCCGAGAGTACGCTAAAGCCGCCAGGCGGATCGAGGCCTGGCCACACTGGTCAGGAAGGAAGTGGACTTCAACTCCGGGATATGAGAGTACTGCAGTGAGGGATCGAACTGCGACCAGAATTTGCCCAGCAAACAATGATGGAAGGTTATGGAGTGTATCTGCTACTACATAAAACCAAAAGGAAATGTCCTCTCCTTAGAACGGCTAGAAGAAAGTAAAGGATCTAAATGGCTTTTCAAGATCCCTGTTGTTTTATAGGCATATTTTAAAACCCTGAACTAGGAGAGGATCAGAGTCTGAACTCCATCACTGTCTGAACAGGCAAGCTAGGCTGTCAACAGCTGCTAGGAAAATGGGAAAACTGCTGTGGTGACATATTCCATGTGTGCGGATGTGACATTTCTTAATAGATTATACAGACCTACCCTGGTCGCCTGAACTATGTGAAATGCAGGTTCCTGTATAACGGGAACTGAAACGTCTCTAGATTCCAAAAGGAGTGGTGCATCAGAGTGCCCAGTGGTTATGATGGACTTGGGACACGTAAATGCTTAATCAGCACTGCCACTAATGACCAGCCTTTCTGGGATGAGCACTTTGTGATAGAATAACAGATACAAGTGCTACAGGTTAAGAAAGAGCTTAAAGTGTCTGTAAAACCAACAGGTTATGGCCTCGGGTGGGTGTCATTTGATAAAGCTGGACACGTAGACAGAGGGAAGCCTAGAAAAGACATTTGAATTTTATTCTGAAAACACTGAAAAGATAGAGTTTTGATACTGTGCCAAGCCCACGGAGAGACCTGAATAGAGGTATGAATGTAGGAGACCTCAGTAAGTAAATAGCATTTGAAGCCATAAGATGGGCTTCCAAATTGGAACTTTTACGTCAGCTAAGAACAGACTTAGCGAAGTGTCACCTTTGTGCATCTGTGTTTCTTCTTTCTTTACTTCTCTTCCCAGATAGCTCGGGTTTCTGATCATCATTTACCACGACTCGGTTTTATTTATATTCTCCTTTTCCCTCAAGGTGAGGGATTCTACAACCTTAAACAAAATGATTCATTATACCTTTTTATCGGATGAGTTAATCATTTCCCATTTGTTAATATGTTCCCCTTCCAGAAACAGTAACACCAGTTAAAGCCAAATTTCCAAACTGTACATGAGGGAAAACTTTCTTCTCACAGAGTAGTTTCATTTCAAAATGAAGTAGAAATGATTGAATTTTAGAATATCACCATTTCTGCAACTCTTAATAGATTAATGGATCTGGGCATTCATCACCAATGGCTGCTAGTATCACAAGAAAGAGAAGCATACTTTTTGTGCATCCTGATAGAAGAATATATCACCTGTAAAAATATCTTGCCAACCAAATTGAACCTAAATTTGGACAAGCCTCCAGATGGAATTTACCAAATTACAGGAAGTAGGGAACAGAAGAATATGCTGAAGAACATGTGAAATGACTCCACCTGAATGCAATCAACAAAATCGAAACTGTGGCGAAACTATGCAGGACCTAATTACTTCAACAAATGAATTGCAGGGTAAAAATAGAGCTGAAGGAGAAATCTCTAGGTTGAAAGAAACATGGGAGACTTATCAACCAATTACAATGTGTGTGCTCATTTGCATCCTGGTTCAAAAAAGAAATCTGGGCAAGAACGATAACAAATGTTCATGTCACTTGTAGACAACTGAAAAATGTGGACACTGGATATTTGATGATTCTATACACTGATTGGTAGTTGTGGTAATGATGTTGAGGTTATGGGGTTTGTAAAGAGTTTTTTAGAAACACGAATTGAGCCCTGACTAGTATGACTCGGCTGGGCATCCTTCCGCGAAGTGAAGGATCAGCAGTGCGGTTCCCAATCAGGGCACATGCCCGGGATGCAAGTTTGGTTCCCTGTCGGGTGCATACAAGAGGCGCCCAATTGATGTTTCTCACATCAATGTTTCTCTTCCTCCCTCCATTCACCTCTAAGTAAGTAAATAAATAAATAGAAATATGAATTGAATTACTTACAGATGAAATAATATGCCTGGGATTTGCTTCAGAATAATTGGAAGGGAGAAGCAGGAATACAGATGACATAAGATTGGCCATAAGTTGAACATTGTTGAAGCCACATGATAAGTACATGAGAATCATTATACTGTGCTGTCCACTTTTGTTGAATTTTGAAATTTTCCACAATAAAAACAAAAGCAAACAAATAGCCAGTCTCCTCTTCAAAAGTCCTAGCAGAAGTGTTGCTAATGATGGGAATTGAAAATTTGCTGATACATAACATGATTTTTTTTCGTCTAGAGAGTTCTTCCCTTGCCCTCACAATTAGCCAGCTTTTTCTCCCTACATATAAAGATATCCTTGTACTTATAAAACTAAAAGCAAATGCTACTAATGCCAATGAGATAAATGTTGAATTCAAATCTGTAGCTAACTCAGCCTCAGTATTGAGCATCTGTTCTCTCCTGATTCAGAAACATGATCTGACTCTGAAAGAAAAAACACCTGAACAACAAATGCTAGAAAAAAGTATGCCAGAGCAACAAATCCTTAGTGACCGGATAAAATGCACTGTTGTTCATGAGTGTTTCAGTTATGTAATATGTAGATTGATGTACTTATCCCATCCAATTAATTTGTTACATAAGATTATTTTTATAGCTACCATTTACTGAATATTTCTGATGGGGCAATCACTCTGCTAAGCTTTTCATATATTTTATCTCTATTTTATTTATTCCTTACACTGTCCCATGAGTTATATTAAGTGTTATTTCTCCCTTTTTATAGTTGAGGAAACTAATGCTGAAAGGTTATATATTTAATTTGTTGAAGATCACATAGCTATAATACAACCTGAATTCGGTCAAGTCCATTTCTTTTTTCCCCCTTCCCAGGATGACCTAAGTTAGAATGAATATATTCTAAACGAATTTTGGCATGTTACACAATCCCACTTAACACAGCTACCAATTCAACCTGACCCTCATCAATGCTCTTTAGATTTTAATTCTGTATCTTACTTCATTAAGGACAAACCAACATATGGTTATAAATGTTTCTCAATGACGTTATTCTGACACAGTAAGAAAGAAGTATATAAAAAAAAGGTTGGTTCATGCGGCTTGTTTCTCAGTACATTCATTTATCACTAAGAGCCATAACACATCAACACAAAGCTTACTTAACATGTTACAAGGGAAGAAGGAATCTTCCAGTGGTCCCAAGTGGCACCCAATACCCGCCCCTTCAAACTGTTCATTCTTTTGAAAGCCATGTAATGGAATGCTACATTTAAGGGAATGACAAGGTGAAAATTGTTCATTTATTCATTCAGCAAGTATTATCTACCACGAGCCTCTGCGAGCAAAAACCAATGGTTTTTATCTCTGCCCCCATAAATCCTATAGGTCATTGGGAAATATAGGCAATTGAACAAAGGAAAGTCAAAGTAAAAACTGTATCAGTGTCAACATCCGTGAGTGTACCTTACAGGAACCTCACTGATTTTTGCGGTCAGAGAATTGGATCCTGTGGGTTCAGACGTGAACAGTATGTATTTACTCCTTGCATTGAAATTCCTGTCATATTTGTAAACATCATAATTTAATAAAATGTCTACTTCCCCAATCATCACTGCTAACCCACTCTTGATGTTCTGAAGCACAACACAGTGATCTTTGTTTGTGAGAAGCCAGTGTTTTAGAACTTCTCAGAAGGTGCTATTTACAGTATAATTTTGAGGCTCTTAGTCCACAGGACAAAAATCAAAATATTTCTCACATGGACTTTGCACTTGTTCAGTAAACATTAAATTTCTTGACTTATAAAGTTTACCATTGTCCATAATTATTTGTGTTTCCCCCAAAACTTAAACCGTGTAGCCACGTTTCCTGTCAGCTGCACAGGGAGGAGGAGGAGGCAGAGTTGCTTTTGAACCTATTCAAAGCTGCTTTTCTCAAATTGATAGGACATTGCCAAGGTCGGCAAGCCTAAAATTAACTCCACCAGCTGTGTTTTGGTTTGCTCCATATAGCACACGGGCTCAGGGGGCTTAATCTGCTGGGCTTGCTTGCTGCTTCAATCTGCTGTGCTCTTAAAAGTTTGTTTGCCTGGAGTGCATGTGTGCATAAAGACGTGGTAACTAAGCAGCTTGAAAGTATACGGGGACTAAATAAATAAGTCTCTCCATGAATCTCAAAAAAGCCTAGCAACAATGTGGGGGAGGGGACAGGGAGGAGTCACAGTCACTCAGTGTGTCGGATGAGCTGCTTAACTTTTAACCTTGCTGAAGCTTCCCACATGCTGCTGATGTGCTATCAAAGACCAAGAGAAGGGGATGTAGTTTCAAGGACTCTACGTTTTTAGCCTCACCCTCTCCTGGAGGTCCTTTAGCATGAAGGACCATATATAGACATGAAGAGTGTCCCAACTGGCTGCACCTTAAAAATATCCCAAGAATCAGCAGCTGCTACTTTCACCCATACAAATTTATAGTTGACTCAATTAAACAGTGCCTCTTCTCAAGAGCTGTAGCCCTTGAGCTGTGCCCTAAGTACTTAACACTGCTTCCCCAATTCCCTCCTCCCTTCCCTTCCTCAGAGTAACCTAACGCAGAACGGATGAAATGAAAGGGATCAGGTTTGAGCAGTTCAGGGTTTGCATCAATGTAAGTCATGAAATGTGGAAGTCAGATCTTCCAATATTGTCTTGAATCTCTGCCTATATGACTACTGGACTCCAGGGACCCCCAGCAGTCCCTGGTCTTGGCCATTTATTCTCTCTTGCTCCTGGCCATTACCACACCCCTTTCTTGGCATCTCTCTCATGTTTTCCACAGTTGTCATAGTCACAACCATA